ATTTAAGAAATGGAATCACGTGTAGGAACGCTATTTATGAATTTGAATTAAGTTTAAGCGATTCCAGGTTGAAGGTCAATAAAGTGGTCAAATGGCTGTGTTGGTACCAATTCTACCATGCATATACATTTTTCTACTATGTCTTTTAATTAGCTTTAAACTTTGGCAGTACTGCGCTCATTATAGCTACTGTTCAGAGCAAGTACATCATTAATTGATTGATTAATTGATTAAAATAATTTTTTGATCACTAATTGTCGTTGATCAATAATAACAGTTTTTACATTGATGACTTAGCCGTTCGATAATTTTTGGACACAATGTAATGAAAAGTAAAAAGAAGGTAAAAAAAGGAACGCCTATTGTTACACGAATAAACCCATGAAATCGGACAGGATCGAAATGAAAAATGCAGAAATTTAGAGAACATTTTAGAGGACAATATGAGGGAAGATTGAAATTGAAATGGAAAGTTCCATCAACGTTCGTGTATAATTTACGATGGTTACGACAAATGTTTGCAACCTTTTTCGTACCTCAGTTTCAAGTTCAAAAACTTCAAGCCGAAACTTCAAAATAATCACCGGATTTTTATAATTCATAAGGATTTCAGGCGTCTGCATAATTTCAACAATATACTCATAGCTCTGAACGCATTTGGTGACACCCTTCACCATATCGGCCATATTCCATTTGCATACTTTATCTTCACCGGAATCACTTTTACACCTTTGCGGACATGCATCTGGATACAGTTAATACCCAATTTCGGTCTAAATTTTGCAATGATTATATTATTTCCTATCGGCATAGATCGAGCTATCGCGATTTTACAACCTGTTAGGTAAGTATTTCGACGAGACTAGTAACCTCAATCTCTCTACCGGCGCCAGATAGATACCCTTCTCAAATGGCCAAACTAAATAATTTGCTTTTTTCCTTCTGAAGTCGGCTAAATTTTTAAATAAAACTGTAGTGGTCATTTGCAGATATCAAAAATTGAAGAAGAAATTCTATATCCCAGCAATGATCCTACTTTACTTTATTCCGTCACCATGCTCATATTGGTTTTTATATATGGCGGAAATAGCGAGTAAGACAAATTCTCAACGCATAATTAATAGCCACTAATGAAATACTTTGAGAATAAATTTATGGAGTGAAGGTCAAAATGCTTGAACATGCGAGAACAACACTTTTTGTTGAGATCAATCAACAAAATCACAATTGACCTCGTCCCGAAAATTTTTTGCTTTGTTTGCTTTTGAATGATAGGTATAAATTTATTTACCTTGTTAAGGGAAATACGAAGCGAAAGAGCGATATGATCAGAAATCTAATGTAGAATGAGCTTGAATAAAGCTTTATTAAAAGAGAAAAATGACAGAATTATCAAAGTCTCTGAGCAAAGAGAATTACGTAAGATGCTCAATGTTCAAAATACTCCTGAAAATGTACACTAAACGCTCTATTCCTTATTTATTTCCTTACTAACCATTGGTCTTGCCATTTTGCTTGCAGTGACGAAGTAATATGTGGTGTATCAGCGGTATATATCGGTCGGTTAAGGCCGATTTGGGGCATTTCGTCAACTCTTATTAATTTAGCAACAATTATACTTTATGTAATACTAAG